GTTTTGGATCATTGCTTGATATGAAGACTCAAAGTATTCCAACAAAATTATGTTATTTTGTTGTGGATTCTTTTGATCACGAGGAGATGGTTATTAAGAGTGAAGGTGGAAATATTCCCGTAACAAGAGAATATGTTAATAGGGTTCTAGGTTTGCCTTTGGGTTTTGAGCAAATTAGTTGTTTAGGTGTTCGAGGCAATGAGGATTGGTTTGAAATTTGGAAAGACCAATTAAGAAGCCATTGTCATTAGTAGCTCCTTCTGATTTGGTGGTGAAGATAATAGAGCGAAGTGAAGCAGATATGGTTTTCATTGTGAATTTCATAATTCTGGTGTGTACATATTTAGGATCATGTAACAAACAAGGAGCTTGTAATTTCAAAGTTCTTCCTTACTTGTCTCGGTCATCTAAGTTGGATCAAATAGATTGGTGTGCATATGCATTGAATTGTTTGAAGGAAGAGAAACTGGTCTGGAGCAGAAATGAAATTAAACATTTTTTAATGGACCATGTGAATTTCTAACGGTATATGCTTTTAAATTATTTGATTTGTATATATAATAAATAATATTCATAACATTTCAGTTTGTAATTAAAGTTGTTTTGTGTAGTTGTTATATGTTGACAGGATTCAATGTAAGCAAATGCCATTTGTGAGAAGATTTCCTGTAATTAATTTCTGGACATCAGATCAACTTAAGTTTAGAGAAAGCAAGAAATTGGACAATGGTGGTTTCGGTAATGGAGTTGATGTTGCAAATTGTAATAAAGATTTTGAAAGTGGATCGATATTAGTAAGATTGAGTTTTTGTTTGTATATTTTAGTAAATGTGTCACTAATGTTTTTCTTTTATATTTACAGGATTTTGAGTCAGATATTTAATGGACTGTTTAGGACTTGTATAAGAAAGTGGAAATGACATTGCAAAAGCGTGGAAATCATAAAAATTTTCAATTTTATAGATTGAAATTACAAGAGATTGTTTCTGTTATTTCTAAATTCCAACAGAGTGAAGTAAAAAATGATTCAAGTTCTGACTCATTTCGAAGGAAAATTAGTTTTGAGGAGGACTCCTTCATACATCACGGTAAGTTTTTTTTAATAATTAATAATTAAATATTTGATGATAATCCAAAAAAACCTGAAATACTAAATATATTTTTATTTTTTGTATTGTAGGTAAGGAAATTGGAAAAATGTTTTTGAATGAAGATATAGCATCGTTTGATTTAGGAATAGAGTCTGAGATATATACCCCAAAAAAGCATTGTTTAAGTTCAGATCATGAAATGCAAGAGAAATCAATATCTAAAGTGGTATTTGATTCTCCAGTGAATGTATTGGGTAAAAATTTGCATGTTCCAAGTAGTTTGAGTAAAAGAGATCAAATCAATCGCCATCAAATTCAAGGCCAAAAAGAGATCAAATGTTACCTCCAGTAAGGAGGTCTCCTTATATGATTCGTGCGGTTCCTATTGAAGCTAATTTGACAAATGAAGAGAACATAATATCTAACTGGGTATTCAGTTTAGTTGAAGATCCAATGTAATGTGTTATTTTTTGAATATTGGTAATTATTAATTTAACATATATTAACACTATTATTGTAATTTTGTAGGGACAACTTATTTCATAGCATATCCGGTTAACGTGGAGAACGTCATATGTTTGAGAGTTTATATCCGCATGAACATCTATTTTATGGGACAATTGATTGTTTAATTGACGTTTTAAACTATGATGAGAGAGCTAGAAATAAAGATACTCCGTCTTGTTTCTTCTTCAAGATGTCTGTTTTGGTAAATTGTCAATTTTTTTAATATATGACTTGTTTAGATATGACTTTGATATTTTTTTTTTGTATAAGTAGAATCCTGGATATATGCACATCAAAGGATCTAAAAGTGAAGAAGGATACAAAAATTTCAAAGAGAATGTGCTTTAGTGTTTGGGTGTATCTCAAGATAGAAGAAGTTTAAAAGGAATTGATATGGTAATGTTTTAATATACTAGGTTTTATTTTATTGAAAAGAATTAATTATATTAAAGAAATTATGTTTTTTATATATAGGTGTTTTTTCCTGCATGTTCAAACAATCACTATTTTGTGCTTGTTTATGATTTTAAGAACCGGAAAGCTGTGATTTTGGACAACATGTTGTACAGTTGTTCCGACGAAGCATATCCAGATCTTATTTATAATTTGGTAAACTATTTTGAATTTAATATAATCTTAGTAATATTTTTTTTGATATAATATTAGTATTGTTGCAGAAATATATGTGTGGGAGGTATCTACTTGAAATTAATCATAATATGGTGTTTGCGGTTCAATATTAAATTGATTTTTTCGATCAGTACAAGACGTGAAAAACAAGGGGTAACTCGAATGATTGCGGCATCTTTTTGATGAGGCACATGAAAACTTATAAAGGGGGTCCGTTAGCACAATGGGAATGCGGATTTAAAAAGGAAGGTGCTGATCAATTACTTTAAATAAGGAAGCTGCGGAGGAGGCATTGTTTGAAAATATTGTTGAGTGAGGTGAACATAATGAAGCCTGAAGTTGAAAATCTTATTGCTCAATATCAAAGGACGTCTAATAATGATAGGCATCAATTATATCTAGATGCTGTTATTAAAATAGGTTCTCGTCTAGCAGCATTTGGTCCATGAAACGATATTATGTTTTCAAGAGCAGTGATATGTTTTGTTGTTTAGTTTTAGTTAGTTACGCTTTCAATTTTTCAATGGATAATTTAATTTCATGTTTACTATTAAGCGTTTAAGTGATGAAATGTAAGACATGATTTGAAGTCGATTTTTGAATGATGTTGTTTTTAAGTTGTCTAGTTATGTATTGTATGTATAATGTTATAAATAAGTTAATTTGATTAATATTTTAAAAAAATGTTTATATATAAGTGAGATGAGACTGATTCGTGAATAGTTAGTTGATGATTTTAAAAAGTCTAACATATATTTCTGAACAGAAAAAATGAACAGAAAACTATATTACGATATATAGTTAGTTGTTGAATTAGAAATTCATCCCAAAAATCGGATCAAAAATATTATATATATTAAGAAAAAAGTAACATAATACTCTATCAAATAAGAATGACAAGTTTACATGAAGATAATTTTAAGAAGAATACAAAAAGGGATTGTAAGATCCGTTCCAGATTATTTTATTATGATTCAAGAAATTGTCCATATGAAAAAGGTATTAGACGTGGGAATTCAAAGGAAATGAGGTTATGTAAGTTTTGCAAAAGTTATGGTTTTCATGATCAAAGAAATTGTCCTTATCATAAATGATTATTATCTTTGAAATTGTTTTTGATTATGTTTATTTTATTGTAATAAATTTATAAATCGTTGTAAAAGTTTATGCATCCTACCTAATAAATGAAGGTTTTCTGCACGTATTCCTCTTATGTTTTCCTTGCTTTGGTAAAATTTTACTCTTATTTTAATGTTCCAAATCTCGCTCATGTGGCAATGCATATGTGCTGTTTGATTAAATGCCTCAAAGAAGTTCATTTTTTCTGTTACTTTGAATATTTGTTTTCGTTAGAATAAGGTTGTTTAGTAATGAAGATTATATTGTTTTTGTTAACTATTTGCGTTGATTAATGGATGGTATGTTATTAGACATGAAAGGATGTATTTTATTAATGGTTTGTTGTAAACAATACAGGGGAAAATTGGTCCATTTTGCACCTGATCATACTTTTATGTTGTAAAACTCTTACAACATAAAGTTTTTTTTTCCATATATTTATCATAGTTTTTTTCATCTCATGTATTTCAGTTATTTAGTTTTTGTTTTTGGTTTTTTTCAGAAATTGTTTATGTTAAGGTAAATTTACAAAACTACCATTCAAAAAGGGCAATTTGGTTCATTTTTTTCTAATTCCAAGTACAAAGACTGCAATGTACTTTCATTATTCAATTTTTGTTTTTTTTCAATTTTTCTTTTCGGGTTTTTTTCAGAATTTGTTTATGTTAAGTTAAATTTACAAATATACCATTCAATTTCTTTCATTTATGTATAAATCCCTTTAAATGCCAAAAAAGCAATGTACTTTTGTAAAAGGGCATAATCGTCCTTTATTTATCATACTTTTATGTTATACAAAGATGTATTTTTTTTCATTTTTTTATTCATTTTTGTTTTGTTTTTTTTGTTTTTTTTGTCAATTTGCTATAAATTTAATAGAATACATGGAAAAAGGGCAATTTGGTCCATTTTGCCCCTGCATTATACTTTTATGTTGGAAAACTCTTACATCATAAAGGTTTTGTCTTCATATATTTATCATACTTTTATGTTATACAAAAAAGCAATTTCAATTTTTTTATTCATTTTTGTTTTTTTTGTCAATTTGCTATAAATTTAATAGAATACATGAAAAAAGGGCAATTCTGTCCATTTTGCCCTAGTATCATAGTTTTATGTTGTAAAACTCTTACAACATATAGTTTTTTTCTTTTTTCATATAAATTTAATAGAATACATGACAAAAAGGTTTTTTTTCATATATTTATCTTAATTTTATGTTATACAAAGTTCGATTTTTTTCATTGGGTTTTTTCCATAAAAAACCTTATGTTTTGATTTTTTTTCTTTTTAGACCTAAAACTTTTAGTTTTTCCGAAAAAGACCCAAAGTTTACCGGAAACTTGTTATTTCGGACCCTAGCAGTTCAGGTAAACTAACTGATTTTTTTTTTCATAAAAGACCCTACATTTTGTATTTTTTTTCCGGTTTAGACCTAAAATGTGTGTTTTTTTTTTCAAATTAATCTCAAATACTATTGTTTTTGCTTTATCAAGTTGTCTCCATGAAATGTGATGTGCTCATTAAAAGCCGTATTTCATTGGATTTGGATGATCATTTCGATTCTCTGTTGGAGTTATGTCATTTGTCTAAATTTTTTATGGTTCGAAGAATCAAAAATTCGAACCCTCCTCGCTATGGTCCTAAGTAACATCTATGAACTAAATTTGTACATTTCTCATTAACTAGACATATTGGGGATTAAGACTCAATAATAAAAGATTTAAATATGCATCATTTATAACAACTTTCTAGAAAACATTTATCGATAAAGTAGTGACGTTGTTAATGTAATACAATTTAATTAAAACTTCATTTTAAAATAAATTAGATGAGGTAAGAATAAAAATTAAAGAATAGAGAGAGTACCCTTTCAGAAACATCATGATATGATCAAAACAAGTAAATCACCTACACTCTTCGAGTGAGTGCCGACAGAAGAAAGAGAGAAGATGATGACTTAATTTTCCAA